TTTTTGTTTACTAATGCAGCACCAATGACCAAAACACTACCAGGTACATAGTGTGCTCAGTAAATATTCATTGAAGAAAAGGAAATGCTAAGGAAAAGAGGTTTACTAGTGAATGTTTTCAACCCTTCTTTATCAGTTTTCCTAAAAGTGTATTTTCTTAGTCAAGCCACTGAAATTTGGAAGGAACAAATAATACATGAAATAACAACATGGTTCCCCATCCCCCCAACTTATGACTAGCCCTTTTGACCATGAGTAATCCTTGCAAAAAGCTGCCATGTGCCCACCTCTTTTGGTTTCACCATCACCACAAACCATTAATCTTGGCTTCCAGGTTCATATCTGATCCAACACTGTATGTCACACCTGCAAGTTTTTTGTTTTTGGTACGTGCCCCTAGCGGAACCTAACCCAGAACTTTCTGGTCCACAGGCCAATGCTTCAACCACTGAGCCAAACCGGCCAGGGCAACACCTGCAAGTTTTTAAATCCAACCTATATGGCCCTGGCTGTTTTGGCTTAGTGGTAGAGCGTCGGCCCTCGGACCAATGAGTCGCAGGTTCAATTCCAGTCAAGGGCATGTACCTTGGTTGCAGTTCCTTCAGGGCCCTGGTCAGAGTGGTGTGGGAGGCAGCCAGTCAATGTTTCCCTCTCCCTTTCTCTCTCTCCCTCCTACTCGATCTGAAGATAAATAGAAAAATATCCTCAGGTGAGGATTAAAAATTTATAAATTAAAAAAATAAATATTGCCCTGGTCAGTTTGGCTCAGCAGTTGAGCGTTGGCCTGCAGACCAGAGAGTCCCGGGTTCAGTTCCCACTAAGGGGCAAGTACCACCAAAAAAAAAGAAAAAAACCTAAATAAATAAATAAATAATACTATTCTTAGACTTGGTTGTTAATTCTGATTCTGTTAACAATTAGAAGCATGACTGAGGACATTTTAATAAAATGCTATAGGTGAGGACACAGTTCTGTTGCATAGAGAGCAGCTAGCATCATTTCCCACTCTAAAGCTAAATATTCTGCACATCTTTACATGTATAAGTGTATGTGTTAGTGCATCTGTGAGTGAATATGTATCAAACTCTCAGAGATATTATTGAATTAAAGGATGAATAAAAATAAACCCAGTTCTTTAATAAATAAATAAATAAATAAATAAATCCAACCTATATGGATATTAACCAACTCTAGAAAGATCAGGCTATGAAAGATCAAGAACAATTTGTAACACAAAGTTAAGACCTTACTAGTGTTCCCCTTGAAAAAGAATACTCAAGGTCCAAGGGAACTGATGTGTCTTCAGTAAAACATAACTTAGGCAAAATCTTTCATTAAAGGGTGCTGCTAAGGAGTGACTATTCAGTTTATAAACCTTTGCATTTTTTAAAAATTATAAAACACAGGTTCGTTGTAAAAATAAATTTGGAACATCACAAATGCAAAGTAGAAAGTGAAAATTTTCTCCTATTCCACCTAAACCCCAATTCCTAGAGATAATTATTTCAGTTTAAATCCTTCTACACTTTTTTCTGTGAATGTACAAATATATAGATCAGTTTTACTTTACAAAAATGGGGCCACACCTTGCAGACTGATCTCCAAGTTCCTTTTTTCCACTTTTATTACTACATGGACATCTTTCGGTGCTAGTACTTTGCAGTACGCTGACAATACACACCTTTATGTGCCCTCTTGATATACTTTCTATAGAAGCAATTCTCAAACTTTTTTTAGCTCAAGACCTCTTTGACACTCTGGAAAAGTATTGAGGACCCCCAAAGAACTTTTGTTTATATAGGTTATCTCATCATTATTTACCATACTAGAAATTTAAACTGAAAATTTTATTTTATTATTATTATTGTTGTTAGAGATGGTGGAAGGGAAGGAAGGAGAAAGAGAGAAGTGGGGGAAAGAGAGAGAGAAAGAGAAAGAAATATTGATGTTTGAGAAACACATGATCGGCTGCCTCCCAAACAACCCCAACTGGGGCCAGGGATTGAACATTCAACCCAGGCATGTGCCCTTGAAAGGGAATCGAACCCATGACCCTTTGGTCCAAAGACTGACACTCTAACCACTGAGCCAAACTGGCCAGAGCTAAACTGAAATTTTTAATTATTCATTTAAAAATAAACATTTTTATTGTAACTGGAAAATAACGGTTTCACCCCGTTTTTATTTTATTTATTTATTTATTTATTTGTGGTACGTGCCCCTAGCGGGAACCGAACCCGGGACTCTCTGGTCCAGAGGCCGACACTCAACTGCTGAGCCAAACTGGCCAGGGCTCACCCCATTTTTAGATAATTGTAGATATTCTTTGAAGCTACACCAAAACTTGGTAACTGGTAGTTTCCTAAAGGTTAGTTGTTATGTAGAATCTATCAATGAACTTTTCTATTCTGTTATATTAGAACCCATTGGTGCATCTTGCACCTTGAATGACTCTTTGTGATTTTACATCATGTGTTGATCATTTAGAACAGTTATTCACTGAATTATATAGATCTCTTCCAAATAACATATTTCATTAAAAGATATCAAAATAACACATTTGTAAATCTTACCACCAATCTCTACATCACAGTAGCAGATACAAGTTTTCCACAATCCCATTTTTTGCTGGAAAGCTAAAATTTTATCATTGGCAACAAATACTACCAATTGTTTTCTTTTAAAGACTCCTTTATAGCCCGGCCGGTGTGGATCAGTGGTTGAGCATCGACCCATGCACCAAGAGGTCGCCGCTTCGATTCCTGGTCAGGGCACATGCCCAGGTTGTGGGCCAAATCCCCAGTGGGGGGCATGCAGGAGGCGGCCAGTCCATGTTCTCTCTCATCGATGTTTCTCTCTCTCTCTCTCTTCCTTCTTTTCTCTCTAAAATCAATAAAAGGAAAAAAAAATTTTTTTTAAAAGACTCCTTTATACTTTTGGTCTGAATAACCACCGTTTGTCAGTCGTAGCTTTTCATCATAGTTTCAAGTAAAAATGATAGTCCATGAGAAAAGCAGCTAGTTCAGCTTACAACTCAAACAAGTGCCCGAGAGCTCTGCCCAGAGATAATCAGTACACAACAGAACTGCTTTATGCATTCTCCCCATTTCATCCCACAAAATATTAAAGACATATACACATGGGTCAAATTAATAATTTTTGCTACTTCATCAAGGACATTCTTAAGTGAAAACCTAAGGTTGTTGTTTTTTTTAAACTATGGGTGCATAGCATGTGTAGTTAGGTACCACAGCCTTGATTCATGCATTACTTTTGCACCATTAGTGTAAGGAGTACAAATAACATCATAATATTGCATTAATATACAAACAGTTTTAACCCTGAACCCCCAAAGGGGTACCAGGGACATCTAGGGGACTACACTGTTCTACACCAGGACAGTTTCCTAGAAGTGAGATTACTGGGCCACTGGTATGCACATTTTAAATTCTGATCAATTTGGCCAAAGCTCTCTTGGAAGTATGTATCAATTTTCACTATTTAAGCCTGTATGATCATCAATAGCATTTTTTAATATAAATACGTCACTTTATAAATGCTGAATTTGAAAAGCACCAGAACATAACACATTACCATATATGCCTGTCTAAAACCAATGCTAAAATATAACCAAATGTTTTAAGGCAAAGTAAAATCCAAGTATCCAGATTATTTAGATGAGGTGAATTTTTTTCTGTAAGAAAGTCAAACCTCAACTGTCAGATGCAAGTTCACTGAAGAGACCTTTGTTTATTGTAGTCACCCATCGTTAGAGGCATTTGTGAATGAATTTCAAAGTATATGCCATTTGCACAACTGATATTTTAATATAAAGTACCCAGACTGAAAAATGTCAGGCTGCAAGTGTACAAAGAGGACCCCAATTAATTGGTTCCTGGCTAGCCCATTACAAACATCTTCTAAGTTGACCCTTAAATTTAAAATTTCACACAGAATTACTAGAAGTGAACAGTGTAACATGTACTGTCAGAACTCAGGTGCCAACTCTGTCCATAAAAATGTCAAAGACATCCCTGGCCAGTGTGGATCAGCGGTTAGAACACTGGCCTGCACATCGAAGGGTTGTGGGTTCCACTCCCAGTCAAGGGCACATACTGAATTGCAGGTTTGATCTCCAGGGTGTGTACAGGAGGCAACCAATTGATGTGTCTCTCGTACATTGATGTTTCTCTCTCTCTCTCTCTCTCTCTCTCTCCTCCTCCTCCCTTCCACTCTAAAAAATAAATATAAAAAAATCAATGGAAAAATATCCTTGTGTGAGGATTAACAATTACAACAAAAAATTGTCAGACAACCTGTTTTTGCCCCAAATGTCACCTGAAACAGGGAGTGAGGAGGAGGAACTTTTGCTCCGTCCATGGGAAAGGATTACCCCTTAAGTAAAGTAAAATAACTAGAAGCTGGGTATCATCTATTCACAAGGAATGCTGCTTCCCTGCTTGATTTTTCCCGCAGAGCTCCCAAGTGAGTATTTTCAAGTTCTACTTATGATTGAAAAGGTCAAGGACATTAATGTCAACTGGGATCTGTGATTCTTAAGCTTTTCAGGACCACAAATCACTCTGAGGACATGATCAAAGCTCTCCCTAGATCAAGCAGTAAAAGATCCATGCACCTGCGGGGAACAGCCGGTGCCTCAGGTTAGAGCAGAATCATGGACTCTGGATCCTGGGAAAGCACTTAAGTCCAACCTCCTCAGGAAACTGGCAGAGTAAAATGGCTTGTCCAAGGTCAACCAACAGTCAGTGAGAAGCAGAATCAGACAAGAAATAAGCAACTCAAAAAAAAAAACAAAAAACCCAGTGAATCAAGCCTTCTAGAGTCACCATGCAACTTTTTCTTCTACAAAGAAACGAAGATAACTACAGTAACAAGTTCTAGGTAGAGCTGCAGGAAACCAACACAAGCACTGTTGTTGGAGATCCTCGTGCGTTCCCTAAGCTGAACACACAAGGCAAAATGTGACCAAAAGCACTCACCGTGTTCCACAAACACATTGCAGTGTGGACCCCCATGCCTGGATGACTCCTTCTTCCCTGCTCCTTTGATAAAGTGCAGGGCAGGCAGACTTGGCCTTCTTTGGTCCCCAAGAACTTTTCCAGGCTGCTGCCCCATAAAGTAAGGATAGGCACCCCTTTCCAGAAGAGGGTTCGAGATCTTTCAGAATGGTCAGTGAGCTCAGGGGGACCACGGTACACGTATGTGTGGGATTTCACATTCACCGCACGTCCACAAGCACCTGAGGTCAATCACGAAAAGACACCTTCCATGACCGAAGAAAGCAGTTTTCGGGCGGACACGTGTAAACAGGAGGTCCGATTACTTTCGCAGTCTACCCGTTGGAAGTCATGGCAATGCTACCCCAAAGTTTCCTGACTTGCCGCGTCTTCTAAAGGCTGAGTAACAAGTTCTTTCGAGGAGAAAAACCTAAACAGAAGTGTTCACAGGCGATGCCGTACAAGGGTCGGCAACACTCGAGTCGTCTCGAGGATTCCCACGCACAAAGGGAAGGTTGGCCGTCTTGGGGTGCTTCTCCCGTGGAGGTCACCCAGCCCCCGGCTGCTGCATGCCCGGACCAAGGTGCCGCCGCCCGAGCCGCCGCGTGTCCAGCCCGCTCTCCGGAAGGGGCACGGTGGCCCGGCCTCAGCGACGGCGCGCCCGCCGCTCGGACGAGAAGGAATGCATGGCCAGCGCTTCTAAGTCCGCTTTTTAAACGGCCTGTGAAACGAGTCCAGACTTTTCCTTTGCATCAAAGTTTGGGGCAGGGCTGAGACTGGGGGCGCCGTCGGTGACATTGGGAGAAGTCAGGACATGAGAGGCTCCCGGAGCAACCTGGGGAGAAGGGGAGGCCACCTGACAGCAGGGAGGGGGTCTGAAGGGGGGGCTCCGAGGCCAAACTTGGGGCGCCGGAGCGGGGGGCGGCTCGAGGGTGAGAGGGAGGCTGGCGGGGCGCGGCGCGGGCGGCTTACTCGGGGGCGACGCTCCTCCACGCCTCAGGAAACTGGGTGTCCCAGGGCGGGGGGAAGAGACCACCCCCTGGGTCCCAGAGCCGGCGCGGGGCTGTAGGGGACGAAGGACTCTCGGGGCTCCGAAGGGAGGAAGTGGCGGAGGGGGGAGGAGGCCCGGTCGCCTCAGCTGCCCCGAGCCCGGGGGTCTCTGCCCGAGACACCCCCTCCCCCGGCCCCGGACGCTGCCGCCGCTGCCAGGCAGTCACATCCCCCGAGCTCTGCCCCGGGACCCAGTCTCCCCCCGCAGGTAGGGGCCGTGGACAAACAGGGGTGCTCTTCAGCTGCAGGACCTGGGAACCGGCTCCGGTTCCAGCGCTGCTCAGGGACGAACACCGACCCCCGCGGCCGCCATGATGGATTACGAGCCGCTCCACAACGAGGCCAGGCCCCGCCCCCGGCCCCGCCCCCAGCGACGTCCGGAGCGCGCCTCACGAGGACCGGGACCCTCCTGGCGCCGTTTTCGGGGACGCCGCTGCGCCTTCCCGCCCTAGTCTCCCTGCCAGCCAGAGCCGGCCTGGACCCAACCTTTTAAGTATGATTTTTCCGAGCGCAAGGTGAGTATTAAGGAAGCACCCGCCTCCCCTGTACCACCATTGGTCCCCAAGAATCCGGGTCATGTCTCTCTACTGCGTCCTATTGGTCGGTGAGGCAGTAGAGCGAGACCTCCCAGCCAACCGCTTTCGGCGCAGCCCGCAGGGCATGCCGGGGGTTGTGGTCCGCTAGCGCCCGCCCCTGTCCGCGTGCACCCGCGACTTCTCGCCCTCTGCTCCCGGCTCCTGCGCTTAGGTCCCGCCCTCCTGGGAGCCGGTGTACTCTAGCCGGCCTCGCTTAGGGCTGGCCAAAGTCTCCCTTTCGCGGGTTTAAGACCCCGCGAGGAGCCAAAGCAAGGAGAAAACTACGGTTTGGATTTTCCCAGAACCGGAGTTGGATTATTTCCTTGAGGCTCTAGAAGGGAGAAAATTTGGCTCGCTCCTGGAAACCAAGGTTTTTGGTGTCCACTCCCCGACCCCAAATTTTCCCCTTTTCCCCAAGAAGCATAAATATTAGAACTAGCTAAAAAATAGATGACTGGAAAGCATCCGACATGTTGCTAGAGAATTCATTGTTTCTTTGGGGCATCAGGAGCCTGTGGGAGACTAAGCCAGGCGCAAGCATCACTTCACAGGTGTGCATGTATTCCCGGCTAGCCAATGACCCACACCCACACCTGTCAGACCCGTCTTTTGTAATTAAGAAGCACCCTGGCTCCTTACTTGTTACTCTCCCTGTCTCTCATGTGCATCTACCTGACCAGGATATACCCATTTCTAAGAGGATCCGCTCACCGCAGCGCCAACTCTACACCACGCAGTTATGCTTTTCATAAACGGCCTTATCTCATCTCACCTTCACTACAGCCCAGTGAGGCATGGAATATTATTCTCTGTCATACAGCTGGGAAAACTGATTCAGAAGCGTGGTTTACTCAGTCACTTGTCTAGTAGGTGACCAAGTCAGGATCTGGGTCCAGACTGATGTTGCTCCAAAGCCCATGGTTTTCCACGGTACCATTCAGTATCAAGTCACTGTTGGCCTAATGTTAGACAACTGAAGTTGCTACGGATATTGGGGGGCGGGACAACTGCATTGTAGGTCTTATATGTTGTTACCATTTTGCCTTACGTATCTTGGAAATATTTCTGCTGTTTGGGTAAATAATATTGATTTTACATAGACTTCAAGAAATAGTCACCTGGAGGAAATGAATGTGAAGCATCTGGAAACCCGTGCACAGCTTCAGAACTGGAATTTATATTCAGGTGTTAATTGGTTTTGCTTTGCCCTCCCATAAAACCATCTGACTGACAAACTTGGTCCCGGCTTGTAGATCACTCTTTTTTTTTATCCTCATCTGAGGACATTTTTCCATTTTTTGTTCAGACGGAGTGGGAGGGAGAGAGAGAGAAACACTGACAAGAAAGGGACACATCAAGTGGCTGCCACCCACACGACCCAACCAGGGCTGGGGACAAACTGAAACTGAGGTACGTGCCCTCATCGGGAACCAAACCGGGTCTCTCTGGACCACAGGCCGACGCTCTAACCGCTGAGCCAAATCAGCCAGGGCTTGTAGATCACTTAAAACTTCAAGGCCCATGTTCCTTTATTTACCCATTATCTTATCCTGAATACTACTCTAATTTTTCTTTTTGGAGACTTGTTTTCTTTTTATTTCTGTTCACGTTTTAACCATATCCTGCTCATCTTCATTCTTCAGCTTAAAATTCGGCAATCAATAACTTTTAAATACACATTTCTTGAACTAACAATTTGTTCGACAAGCATTTATTGAGCCCATGTGTCAAGCACTGTTCTAGGTGCTGGGATACAATGCGAGTGACGACTCATCCTTGTCCTAGAGCACACATCAATGGAGTGACAGGCAATAAGCAAAATGAGTAACAATCCAATGTCCCAATGCTGGAAGGAAATTTCTAGACTCATATCCCTCCACCATCAGTCCAACCCATTCTCTGAAGGATTGCTTTGATACCTCTCTAGAGTTTAAAGCTATTCCTCATTCAGTTGCTAATGGGCTTAATCCAGCCACTTTAATTCTCTGAGTAACTTCACTTTTAAGTGGAGGCATATCTGCCAACTTTGCAAGGTTATCATGAGGATCAAATGAGATCTTGGTTTTCCAGATTGAAATTATGCTTTATAGAAGTCAGTATGGAGACCAGCTGCACTTAATATAAACGCTTATCCCAAATCTCCATTTTCTACTTGAATCATTTTCTAATTTTAGGTGAGCCCCAAGCCCAGACTATAACATTTCTAGAGATGCACTATACTTTTTTACTCCCTATATAACACTGTAGAATATTTTTGAGGACTTCAAACTAGAATCCAGAGCCCAGGAAATGCCTGGCAGTCAGATCCACAAAGTTGCTAAGGGATTTAGTACCAGTGTAATTAATCTATCCTTATTCCATTCCGTTTATTCCATTTTTTCCCAACTGCTGGAATACACTTAACAAGGGCGCCCTCTAGTGGGCCACAGAAAATAATCACTAAAAGAGGCTTTTAGCCCTTTGTGTTATTTCCACTCAGTAGGTACCACCATTCAGCAGACATTGAATAAACAGCATAGGTTGGCAGCCTGGGAGAAATCAGTGAGGATCATTTCAACAAGCTTAGATATAGCCATTAAAACAAACCAAAGCAGGGACTCAGGCTCCCACCCTTTCCATTTCCCCTCCCTCAAGAGCCATATGGCCTGGCACGTGTTCTCAAAAATATGACAGGTGAGCAAATCTGAAAGTTGCAACACAGCCTATAGAATATTCAGTTGTTTGCAAACCCCTCCAAACAGCTGATAAACTTGGGACAGAAAAAGATGAGATTTTTAAAAACTGTCTATTGAGTTATGTTATAAACAAGAAATATACCATTTAATGAAAAAGAGTCAAGCTGTATTTCAAAATTGTCAAATGCAGGGAGTGTTCCCACTGAAACTATCCTAGGTTTCAATTTTACTAGGTGACCCAAGTACAATAGTTAGGGCCTCTGGCAGAATTTGTATCTGCTAAGCCCTCCTTCAACTGTACTCAGCTCCCAAATATTACAAAGAACACAAGAACAGAAACAATGCCTTTAAAAAATGTTTCCCAAAACCTAAATCAGGCACAATTTTTTTGGACATCAGACAAACCAACACATAGAAATTCTAGTATCTCTCAGTAAAAACGTCAGCATCTTGCCCTGGCTGGTGTGGTTGTTGGTTGTAGTGTTGTCCAGTACACAGAAAGGTGGAGGGTTTCATTCCCAGTCAGGGCACATCCGCAGGCTGTGGGTTCGGTCCCTGGTTGGGGTGCATGCATGAGGCAACCAGCCAATGTTTCTTTGTCACATTGATGTTTCTCTCTTCCTCCTTCCTCTAATAAATAATTTTAAAAACCACAAAACTCTAGCATCTTGGTTTTATCTTTGAATCCTTAATTATTCAGAACTTAATGCACTGCTACTTCCATTAGAGGAAACCAGCTTTTTCCCCACCTCCATTTTCTGTACTTTGATTCACATTTATCCAAACACCCAGAACATTCATTCTTTTTTTCCCGTTTTTTGTTCAAATAGAGTGGGAGGGAGAGAGAGGAAGAGAGAGAAACATCGATGTGAAAGAGACACATCAAGTGGTTGCCACCTGCACAACCCAACCAGGGCCGGGAACAAACTGTAACCGAGGTACATGCCCTTAGCAGGAACAAAACCCAGGTCTCTCTGGACCACAAGCTGACACTCTAACCACTGAGCAAAACCAGCTAGGGCAGAACATTCATTCTATAATTGATAATTCAACTTCTTACAAATCACCCTCAAAAGCAGGACAGATTAAGGCAGCCTGGTGTGGCTGCATTGAATCTTTCACTAGAAGGAACATGCAATGGGAATAAGATTCCAACCCAGCAAAAGGCTGCTTGGTTAACTTTATTTTTGTTTGACTGCTGGGTTAACTTTACCAACTATCTTCTTCAATGTCACACTTATACTGCAGAGGGGGTGGGAATGGAAGCCAA